AGTGTAATAGGGTTCCCTTTTCTCCACACCCTTTTCAGCATTTATTGCTTGTAGACTTTTGGATAGCAGCCATTCTGACTGGCGTGTAATTGTAGGTTTCTTTTTTTGTGCTGTCTTTGTCCGGTTTTGGTATCAGGGTGATGGTGCCTTGTAGAATGAGTTTGGAAGTGTTCCTTCCCCTGCAATTTTTTGAAGGAGTTTTAGAAGGATAGGCATTAGCTCTTCTCTAAATACTTGATAGAATTCTCCTGTGAAGCCCTCTGGCCCTAGGCTTTTGTTTTCTGGGAAATTTTTGATCACAGCTTCAATTTCAGTGCTTGTAATTGGGTTGTTCATAACTTCTATTTCTTCCTGGTTCACTCTTGGAAGATTGAACTTTTCTAAGAATCTGCTCATTTCTTCTAGATTATCCATTTTATTGCCATGTAGTTGTTCATAATAGTCTCTTATAATCTTTTGTATTTCTTTTTTTTTTTTTAATCTTTTGTATTTCTTCATTGTCTGTTGTAATTTCTCCTTTTTTATTTCTAAGTTTGTTGATTTGATTCTCTTTTGTTCTTGATGAGTCTGGCTAAAGGTTTGTGAATTTTGTTTATCTTCTCAAAGAACCAGCTTTTAGTTTTATTAATATTTACTATTGTTTCTTTCACTTCTTTTTCATTTACTTCTGCTCAGATCTTTATGATTTATTTCCTTTTACTGATTTTTTTTTGGTTCTTGTTTTCCAGTTGTTTTAAGTGTAGAGTTAGGTTGTCTTTTCAATGTTTTTCTTGTTTTTTTGAGGTAGGATTGAATTGCTATAAACTTCCCTCTTAGAACTGCTTTTGCTACGTCCAAGGAAAGTTATGACCAACCTAGATAGCATATTAAAAAGCAGAGACATTCCTTTGCCAACAAAGGTCTGTCTAGTCAAGGCTATGGTTTTTCCAGTGGTCATGTATGGATGTGAGAGTTGGACTGTGAAGAAAGCTGAGCGCCGAAAAATGGATGCTTTTGAACTGTGGTGTTGGAGAAGACTCTTGAGAGTCCCTTGGACTGCAAGGAGATCCAACCAGTCCATCCTAAAGGAGATCAGTCCTGGGTGTTCATTGGAAGGACTGATGCTGAAGCTGGAACTCCAATACTTTGGCTACCTCATGCAAAGAGTTGACTCACTGGAAAAGACCCTGATGCTGGGAGGGATTGGGGGCAGGAGGAGAAGGGGCTGACAGAGGATGAGATGGCTGGATGGCATCACCGATTCGATGGGCATGAGTCTGAGTAAACTCCGGGAGTTGGTGATGGACAGGGAGGCCTGGCGTGCTGCGATTCATGGGGTCGCAGAGTTGGACATGACTGAGCGACTGAACTGAACTGAACTGAATATGTTTTGAGTTGTCATGTTTTCATTGTCATTTGTTTCTAGAATTTTTTTTTATTTCCCTTTTGATTTATTCAGTAACCTGTTGGTTATTTAGAAACATGTTTTAATCTCCATGGGTTTGTGTTTCTTACACTTTTTTTCTTGTAACTGTTATCTAGTATCATAGCATTGTGGTCAGAGAAGATGCTTGATATGATTTTGATTTTCTTAAATTTACTGAGGTTTGATTTGTGACCCAAGATGTGGTCTCTCCTGAGAGTGTTCCATGTGCACTTGAGAAGAAGGTGTATTCTCCTGCATTTGGATGGAATATCCTGAAGATATCAATAAGATCCATCTCCTCTGATGTATCATTTAAGACTTGTGTTTCCTTATTAATTTTCTCTTTTGATCATCTGTCCATTGGTGTGAGTGGGGTGTTCAGAGTCTCCTACTATTATTGTGTTACTGTCAGTTTCTCCTTTTATGTCTGTTAGTGATTGTCTTATGTATTGAGGTGTTCCTATGTTGGGTGCATAGATATTTACAGTTGTTATGTCTTCCTCTTGGATTGATCCCTTGATCATTATGTAGTGTCCTTCCTTATCTCTTGTAATCTTCTTTAAGGTCTGTTTTGTCTGATATGAGGATTGCTACTCCAGCTTTCTTTGCTTTCCATTTGCATGGAATATATTTTTCCATCCTCTCACTTTGTCTATATGTGTCTTTAGATCTGAAGTGGGTTTCTTGTAGACAGCATATATATGGGTCTTGTTTTTGTATCCATTCAGCCAGTCTCTGTCTTTTGGTTAGAGCATTTAATCCATTTACATTTAAAGCAATTATTGATATATACATTCCTACTGCCATTTTCTTAATTGTTTGGGGTTGATTTTGTAGATCTTTTTTCCTCTCTTGTCTTTCTTGACTATATAAGTCCCTTTAATATTTGTTGCAAAGCTGGTTTGGTGGTACTGAATTCTCTTAACTTTTGCTTGTCTGAAAAGCTTTTTATTTCTCCATCAATTTTGAATGAGATCCTTGCCGGGTATAGTAATCTTGGTTGTAGATTTTTCCCTTTCACTACTTTAAATATATCCTGCCATTCCCTTCAGGCCTGCAGAGTTTCTGCTGAAAGCGTATAGGGTTTCTGTTAAGCGTATGGGGTTTCCCTTGTATGTTACTTGTTGCTTTTCCCTTGCTGCTTTTAATAGTCTTTGTGTGTTTAGTCTTTGTTAGTTTGATTAGTATGTGTCTTGGCGTGTTTCTCCTTGGGTTTATCCTGTATGGGACTCTTTGTGCCTCTTGGATTTGATTATTTCCTTTTCCATGTTGGGGAAATTTTCAACTATAATCTCTTCAAAAATTTTCTCATACCCTTTCTTTTTCTCTTCTTCTTCTGAGACCCCTATAATTTGAATGTTGGTGCATTTGGTATTGTCCCAGAGGTCTCTGAGACTATCCTCAGTTCTATTCATTCTTTAAACTTTATTCTGTTCTTCAGAAGTTATTTCCACCATTTTATCTTCAGCTCACTGATTCGTTATTCTGCTTCAGATACTCTGCTGTTGATTCCTTCTAGAGTATTTTTAATTTCAGTAATTGTGTTGTCTCTGTATGTTTATTCTTTAATTCTTCTAGGTCTTTGTTAATTGATTCTTGCATTTTCTTCATTTTGTTTTCAAGGTTTTTGATCATCTTTATTATCATTATTATTCTGAATTCTTTTTCAGGTAGTTTGCCTATTTCCCCTTCATTTATTTGGACTTCTGTGTTTCTAGTTTGTTCCTTCTTTTGTGTAGTATTTCTCTGCCTTTTCATCATTATTATTATTATTTTTAACTTACTGTGTTTGAGGGCTCCTTTCCCCAGGCTTCAAGGTTGAATTCTTTCTTCTTTTTGGTTTCTGCCCTCCCAAGTTTGGCCCAGTGGTTTGTGTAAGCTTCATATAGGGTGAGATTTGTGCTGGTTTTTTTTTTTTCCCTCTGATGGGCAAGGCTGAGTGAGGTGGTAATCTTGTCTGCTGATGATTAGGTTTGTATTTTTGTTTGTTGTTTAGATGAGGCGTCCTGCACTGGGTGCTACTGGTGGTTGGGTGATGCTGGGTCTTGTATTCAAGTGGTTTCCTTTGTGTGAGTTCTCACTATTTGATACTCCCTAGGGTTAGTTCTCTGGTAGTCTAGGATATTGGATTCAGTGCTCCTACTCCAAAGGCTCAGGGCTTGATTTCTCCAAACTAGTTCTGAAATAATGGAACATGGAAGAATGCTGTCATCATTTGGGATTCAGTGGTTTATGGCAGGTCTGGGCAGATTGGAAACCACCAGGTGGGACTGGAGGAAGGCAGATTTGGTTGCAGCTCTTCCAGGTGCAGTCCAGGTAAACAGGTGTGTGTGTTGGGGCTGAATAGTGAGGGGCCATGCTGGGACATCGTGATCTAATTCTTTCTGCCTGGCTTTATCCCAGAGTTTACAAATACCCCATGCAGCACACTCCACCTGACTTTGGAGGATTCTGGAGCAGGGGGTGTGCAATTGCACTCATGTGGTCCAGTTCTGGGCTGGTGGCTGTGTCTAACAATTCTTTTAGGAGAGGGTTTTTGAACCAGATTATCTTTTATCTATTATTATTATAAAGCTATATGACTATTAAAACTATTATGAAAAATTTCCTTTGACTTCTCTTCCCTAAAATACTCAGTTAAACATTTAATGCTTATGCCCTATGTTAAACATTATTGGGGAGTACCAGAAAAACTTTCAGTTTGGTTTTGGGAAACAAATTTTATACATACACACACACACAAACACACACACACACACACACATACACCAGGTAGAAGGCCTGGCAAGTCTGTGAAGTTCTGCCATTGGGAACAGGTGACCTGGACCTGTCTTGTCACTGTCAGGCTAAAATATATAATTATATATAATATAAATATATATACACACAAATACACAGACACACATACTCAGTTGTTGGCTATAACTAAGGACAAATAAGAGTGAAAGATCAGATTGTATAAGCCTGAATATTTGCTCATTGTTCCTAAAACCAAAGTCTTACAATTTGTCTTGCTCTCCCCTCTACATTTATTTTAGTATTTTCTAGTTTTAAGAACTGGCAGTCTTTGGAGCTTCTTTCAAGGACTATTCCCCCAATCCTGGTGGCATCTCTGTGCCTACATGCTACCCGCTCTGGCTTCTCAAACCTTATCCCCACCTTTAGTATTCTGCCTAGGCTTGTCTTTTACCTATTTAAAAATTCAGGATAGCAGATTTAGGCAATGTAGAATACATTTTAAAGGACCTTGCCTGCAAATAATCTTTATTTTCAACACATTCTTGTAAGAAATACATATTTTTGGGTGGGAATAGGGAGACTTAACTGTGCCAATTAAGTCATAATACCTATGGAATCACCTATTCCTCTAGGTTTATGCTAGTTCTCATAAGGACCAAATCAGAGAAAAAAAGACTTCTCCCTTTTGGAGGCACACCATTAATACCTACTTTGACAGTTCATCTTATGGTTGATACTTACGGCTTTTAGAATAAATCACAGATGAATAGAAAATTCTACTTTTTTTTTTTTACAGCTCCCTCATTTGTGGGTTCAGATGTGATTTCTATCAGAATATCTGTGAAAATATACTTACCACCAAAAGTAATAATTCTAGCCAGTTCCAAATACTTTTGAAATAGGCAAATTTAAATTCTTTCAGTTTTTTGATTTCTTGTATTGTGAAGACAATAATAAAAATACAAAATATGATTTCACAGGAAGCAATAAAATAATCATAGAAGCTAACGTATCTGAGGAGCTTCACAGAGTAAAACTGCCATGAAGTAAGTATTCCTCCAGTTGCAGGGAATTCTGCCACCAATCTGTAAAATGAGGTTTGTGAAAGTAACTGCATTTCAAGAATTTATATTTCAGTACCTAACTCAATTGAAATTTCCAGTCAGTGATGTTGTATACTTTAATAGTTATTTTGTACAAAATATGTTTTCTCAGGGTAACAGGCTCAAAAAATTCTTTTTAATGCTCCACTTTTTTTGGTGCTCTGAAAATTCACAGTGGTCAAAGACCAGTGTAAACGAGAAAGAAGGAAAGATGTGACTTTACATTCATTTTACTCTATGTTTTGATTGCTCATTCGTAACTGGACTGCTAATTTATCCCCAGAGAGTAAGGGGTGATGTTCAAGAACATGCTGTACTGTTAGTTACTGTTATTATTCAGGACTCCCCAAATATTTCAGAGGAGGGACATACACTGTCCCCCTTTAGCTTATCAGAGATACTTCTTGCTTCTAAATCTCAAGATAACATACTATATTAAAGCCAATGTGTTCTGTTTAACTTTAGGCACTAGATTTTGGATACAAAGATCTACATGCGAGTAGAAGTATAAAAATTACTCCAGTACCAAATATAAAAAGATTTTTAGGTAATTCCCTGTATTCCTAGTTTTTTCCATAACTGCAGGTAATTAAGAATTGGCAGTAATTTAAGAAACCAGGATCTCTATCACAAATACATTAATGTAATTATTCCTACCTGAAGGTGTTAGCAAATCTTATTGGTACTGGAATAAGGTGCTGCCCCACTCAACCCCAAAAATACCTTACCAAAATCCAGAACAAAACCACCAGTTAACAAATAGAAAACAGGATTTTTTTTCACCTTGCATATATTTGGTGCACAAATTTGAGCAAGTGAGTGAAATGAACGAAACTCAGTATTTTGACCTTACGTGTAGACTAGTAAACAAAAAGCAAAAAATGATGAGCATTTAGTTTGCCAGATATGTGTAAAAAGGAAAATAAGTGGATAAGGTCATAGTATAATCAATATGCTCCCATACAACTATTGATTATACTACCAGGTAAAAGTTTCAAAATCTGCTGAAATTTCTAAAAAACATTTTAAAAGATAAATAAAATAAGCATGAAACCTAGAGACAGAAAATATGGACTTAATGTAGTATTGCAAGCAGTTCTTCGTATAACTGTAAGCCAATTACCCCATTGTTTCTTTTCTTATTTAGGACATTGGAGTGATTTGTATTCTTTACTTTATCCCTACCAGGACTATCGGGAAAGGTGAATACTGTTGGTCAGAAGCTGATTCCCTGAAAGAAACTACTATAACATGCTGCTGACAGTAATTCATTTGCTTTCATTTCTTTTTTTTTTCTTTTTTGCTTTCATTTCTATACATTTTAAAGGCTGTGACTATCTTTCACCATCACTGTTGCACAAGGGCCAAGTTCTCCATTCAGAGTAAAGGCTGATTCCATATTCCATTCGGAAGAAAAATGTAAAACTCAAGAGAAAAAAGTGGCTTACTAAGACTCAGTGGACACTAGTGTTTACCTCTCCAGTATTCACTATCCTAGTCCTCCTTTCCAACAGAACCCTGTATCAGGCATTCACCCATTCCCAGATGGCTTAGAAGCCAATTCAATCCCCAAGCGGATTCAATCACAGTAATGCTATTTGCTTTGCCAGTCCTCAGGCCTAAGGCAAATAGTATGGTCCAGGTTAGGCAGTTTATCTAAGATAATCAGACCTACAGAAATAATTTTTTTCTCTTCGGCTGTTTCCTCCTCCTCCTCGTGAGAGGGGATGTCTCTCATCCTTTTCTTGGGTCCAACGGGTTAGCCCTGGCATGTTATTCTCAAGTAATAGTAGAAGTACAAGACAGCAAGTTTTAATGTACAAACCGCTTTCAAATTTCTGCATGTATCATGCATGTGTGCATGCTAAATCGCTTCAGTTGTGTCAAACTCTTTGTGACCGTATGGACCGTATAGCCTGCCAGGTTCCTCTGTCCATGGGATTCTCCAGGCAAGGATACTGGAGTGGGTTGCTATGCCTTCCTCTAGCAGATTTTCCCGACCCAGGGATCAAACCTATGTCTCTTATATCTCCTGCATTGGCAGGCGGGTTCTTTACCACTAGTGCCACCTGGGAAGCCCTTGCTTTTATCATATATGCTGACATTCCATTGACCAAAGAATGTCACATGGTTGAGCCTAGTATCTAGTTCTGGGGTCTTGCACCCTGCCCTAGGTGACAGGGTACTACAAGTTTACATGGCAAAGATGTGAAGAATTGGGGCCATTTGCAAATCATCATCGGCAATAATCATGTCTAGGATGTTGGCTCTTGTTAAATATTGTTTGAATGTTAAATTGTTCATTCTTGAGACAAAAATTAATAACTTAATAAAGAAGCTCATTGTGAAAGAAAATCAACAGATTTGAACGATCTGATTTAAAGGAAGAAATTGTTAGGGCTAAATGTTAGATTTGTCCAGCTGCAGAATGACAAGAAATAAGGCTATATATTCTTAAGTAATATAAAACTAACCTACTGTATGTAATTCTTCATGTTCTGCAATATATCCTGAAGCAGTGAAACAATGAATATGATGTTGTTTTTTCTTCATCATTATTGGAGGAACTACATTATATTTATATTGGAGCTTATGATTTTAATCTCAGTACAAACATGCACAAACTAGAAACTCTAAAGAGGGCTCTGGATGCCTTTTAAATTCAATATACTAATAAGAGGTCTTGAGTCACTCACCTGATAATGCAAAATAGATTTACATTAGCATTGTATACTGAGAAATCAATAAAAATAACTCTAGTGCCTCTTGTGATCCAGCTGTTCATTCGGAGGTTAATGAACTTGTTTAGGGTTTCAGATTTTGATTTTGATAAAGTGAAAATATACCCCCCATTTTGGTAAACACCAACAAATCCCCAGTGCCAAGGGGAGTTCATACCAGGAGAAGAGTACTTCCATCTGTTAGACAAAAAAAGAATAATGGAGAGATGAGAAAGCTTGACCAAGAATAAGAGTTAACTTTTGGTTCAAAAGTAGTTTAAAAAAAGTAGTACTAAGTTCATAAGCATTACAGTAATTTTGAAGTAAGGTGGTTAAGGATTAAGCTAAAAGGATTAAGGTTGCATATGTTTTCATTTTTTAGTGCTTATTGTGGACAAGTGCTATGAGAAAAAAAAGTTTAATCCATTGCCTCAGGGAACTTGAAATCTAGAAAACAATGATGCATTTTTTTTCATTAACATATACCTGTTGTCTTATCTTCAGTCTTTGAGGAGGACAAGAACATCCAGGGTTTTAATTCAGAAATATCTGCCTCAGTGTGGGGAAAAGATGCTTTACAGTGTGGCTTCTAACAGTCATATACCATTTATAAATGTCCAATAAATAAAAACTTTGTTACAATGTCTATGTTGTTATATAGGTATCTTATTTTAATGAAAGTACACAAAGTAAAATCTATGTAAGTAAATTTTGTTTCCATTCTTTCTACTTTTAACTTAGTTGTGTGTGTGTGCCTGTGTGTGTTCAGTTGTGTCCGACTCTGTGACCCTTTGGACTAGAGCTGTCAGGCTCCTCTGTCCATGGAATTCTCTGGGCAGGAATACTGGACTGGGTTTGCCATTTCCTCCTCCAGGGCATTTTCCTGTCTCAGGGATTGAACCCGTGTCTCCTGCGTCTCCTGCATTGCAGGCAGATGCTTTACCCACTGAGCAGTTCAGGAAGCCCAGCGAACTTAGTTATGGATATCAAAAAATTAAGCTTGATTCTTCATTTCAGTTCCTATTTAGTCTCCCCAAACAGATCTGAACAATTATCCAAAGATGCTCTGCTTAAACTTGTTTTCCTATCACTAATACCATGTTTGCTTTCACCAGAGAAGATAAAAATGATAACACTAAGAAAAAATACTCATTTAATGAAGATTCCATAGTTGTATCTTTGCACGTTTTCCACATGATTGTTAAAATGAAACAAGAACGTTTGTTATGCTAACCCTCTCCTACTTCCAATTTTTAATACTGGTTTTAATTAATGAATGTTGCATTTTAGAAAGACAAACACAACTTGATTCGTATTTTGGTTGTTAGGAAATGACACATATTAAAAGTCTAAATCCATGTTAATTTTGGAATGTAAATTATTTGTAGTTGTTATAATTCGGAATGTTAGAATACCTAACGGATTAGTCTTGAGATCAAATTAAAATGTGTACTTAAATAATTGACTTATCTCATAATTTTTTATTGAAAGGGAAATGGTGTGTGGTACTATTATACTATTACAGCAGTATAATATTTAAGAGAAGGTGTCATTATACTTAAGAACTGACATACAAAACAAGAGAACTATACAAGCACGTTGTGGCCCTCAAGAACGCCCAAAACTCATACAAAGAGAAAATAAGTTAACAAACCCACAAAGCAATGATCAGTCCTAGGGATACTGGGGAAACTGCTCAAGAAGGGAAATGTAGTTACTGTACTTATATTTATATAAATATAAAATAAACATTGACTAATGATTAACAAAATTATAGTATAACCATAGGCTAAGAGGAATAGGAAGTTTGTTGGAGGAGGGAGTGGTATAAGAAGGATATATGACACACACTTTCTGTGACAGAGACAATAGATATACAAAACTATAAAACCAAGTAATAGCAGTATATACATACTATTTAGAAATGTGAAGTATATACAAGAAACAACTGAAAGTGGTTGCTTGTGGAATGGAAATTATGAGCAGGAAAGTGTGGACCTTTGTAAATGTTTGCATCACTTTGATAAATATCAAATTCTAAAAAAGATACTTTGCCTCTATTATTTCATATGACCTTATATGCAATGATACCAGTACCTTCCATGTTAAAGGTAGGTAGTGTTAGTGGCACTGGGCTTTTACATTTTCAATGTAAAGTGTAGACGTGAATCTATACTAGTATTAACCACAGCCACTTTGGAGAACAATGGCCAAAATATCTTTGGCAGGCATCATCTGATGCAGTGTCTGTAAACCTAACTGCCCCCTTTCAAGATGTTGTGCTGTGCTGAGTTGCTCAGTTCTGTCCGATTCTTTGCGATGTCATGGACTGTAGCCTGTCGGGCTCCTCTATCCATGGGAAAAGTACTGGAGTGGGTTGCCATGCCCCCCTCCAGGGGATCTGCCCGACCCAGGGATCGAACCAGGTCTCCTGCATTGCAGGTGGATCCTTTACCAGCTGAGCCACCAGGGAAGCCCAAGAAAACTGGAGTGGGCAGCCTGTCCCTTCTCCAGGAGATCTGCCCAACCCAGGGATCGAACCAGGGTCTGCTGCATTGCAGGCGGATTCTTTACCGCTGAGCTACCAGGGAAGCCCTACTGGCAACAATACAAGATATCACTGAAGTAAGCCAGAGTGAGAAAGCAGCAGAGTACTTCAGAGACATTCCCTAGGGATCCCAAAAAGCATTTGGGATGTGTATAAGAGCATCTTGCCAGAGCCAGAGAAACTGATTGAGTATTATAAAAGCAAAAATGGGCACTTTGCCTTGTGTTCAATATGACTTAACACTTCACCTACCACAGCTGGGCGGGGGGGGGGGGGGGCGGGGGGGAAACACTCTGTGTCCTATGGTAAACAAAAAATTAACAGGTTTACTCTTCCTTTTCTCAGCACTGCACCTCTGAGTCTTCCTTTGATACTATTATTGAAAGAGTCTCCTTACCTGCCAGCTCCCTGTGGTATCATTTGGAAAATAAATATATTTTCACAGTTGTTTGAAGATACAATGCTAGGTGCTACAAAAGTTATGTGTAATTTTACACTACTTACTCAGTATCCTGTTTAAGGCCAAAATCAGCCATATCTTCATTTTTAGAAGTGTATTTGTCATAACATTCATCCATCAAAGACCAAAAGAATGAATAGACCTTGCATGTGCCATTGCGGACTTTTAGTTGACGGACTCTGGGGAGTCCTAAAAGTATGTTCTCATAGTAGATGCGACTGCTGTTCTTTAAATCATACAGCTTCTCATTATTGTACCATGAGTCCCAGTACAGACCATCCAAAAAGGGTCCTTCCATAAACTTCATATAGAAAAATACATATTATGGGAAAAATATTTTCATGTCAACTGTGAACAGAATCTACATTCATAATGTTATCCATAAGAATATAAAAAACAGTGATTTTGAGGACAAGTATGAAAATTATTAGCCAAGCCACCATTAATAATGGTAATGGTAGGTGATGTTGATTATAATGAAGATGGTTAACATTTACTGAGTACTTTATATGTACTGTTCTAAGCACTTAACAAGTATTAATTCATTTCTATAACCTTTCTTCTCCAAGGGGTATACTGAAAACCCTTCACCACAACATGGGCAAAGAATTTATTGGCAATTCAAGGCATTTTTAACAGTAATTTTCACCATATACAATTTTAAAGTTATAAGAACTATATCACACTGAGAACACAGGTTCTCAATAAACATTGGTTGATTATAATAGTTTGAAGAAATGACATTTATTTTTATTCATTCCTTCAATAAATACGTATCAAAGTCCCTATGATGTGTGCCAAAGGCTTTTTTATGCAATACCTAAAACTATTTCATCCAATCACACCTTACCTTCCAAAAGTCAGTTATGCTGCGAATAGACTTAAAGTTGGTTCTTTCTTCACCAGCCACAGATGTGTCCAAAAATAGAGATGACATAACTTTGTTTAAGTAATACATATGTGGGTTTACCATCCCAAAAGTCACTAAGGAAAAAAATTTTTTATTTTAAAACTTACGTTAAAAAAAACTCAAGTTTTTATCAGGATTAAAAATGTACTTGTAATTTGTTCCTAATTTTGTTTTGAAAATTCAGTTTTATTTTGCTAACTATAAAAGCAATAATAAAAAAACTAAAATATAAAAATACAAAACAGGAAGAACTTTTCTTTAACCTACTATGTAAGAGTTAGGTTTGGCATATATTCTTCAGATTTTTCTAAATGCAAACACAATATAGAGAAGACAACTTTATTTTTACAAAACTGAGACTACATTTTACATACTATCATGCAAATTGGCTTTTTTCCAACACTGGGAGTATGCAGCACAATTTAGTAAGTAGTTAAGGATATGAACTTTAAAATCAAACAGATTTTTTTTTATCCCACCATAGGGATATCTTCTAATGTTTTGAGAAGTGAGATAGTTCACATGGAACACTTAAAACTATGTTTTGGCATATGATAAGATTGAAAAAAACATTAACTAGTATTCTTTCTCATTCTTTTTAGGGGTAGGTGTGTAGGTTTTAGATCAGTGACAGTGTTAGTTGCTCAGTTGTGTCTGACTCTTTGCCATCCCATGGACTATTAGTTCAGGGTATAGACTAAATATGTCTTTTTTACTAGAAGATATTTATTTTTAGTAATAATCCATCTTCAACATTATTCCATGGCAAACATGAACCTGTGCCATTCTTTAATGTTGAATATTATGTCATTATATACACAAAAATATTTAAAAAATCCTCTGTTGGAGATTTGTTTCCCATTCTTCCTAATTATAAAAAAGTGTTTTTTAAAAAATCCCTGAATAATGTGATTGAGTGATTTTAAATATCTTCCACTCCCCAAATGTTCTGTAATAAGCATTTAAAAACTAATCTAAGATAACTTATGAGATCGTTAAAGCTGTTTTTTTAATCAGTAGCTGACTCAAGCTCACTCCCACATATCAATTAATTAGTTAACTGATAAATATTGGGCTGGCCAAAAAGTTTGTATGGGTTTTTCCATACCATCTTACAGAAAAACCTGAATAAACTTTTTTGCCAGCCCAATAACTGCCATACTGACATATGTCCAGCCAGTGAGCTTACATCTACTGTATACTGGGTGCTATAAAGACAAAATGCTCTTTAATACTGATCATGCTATTAACTCACAGATAGGAGGAATGTAGGTTGAGATGTTTTCCTGGTCCTCCCTAAAGATTTGCACTGATTTGTATCTCCTGTAACTCAGAACTAGCATATTTTACTATTAACTATGTAACATGCTAGGGAAAAGATCAAAGTAGACATCAAGACTAACTTCTTAGGCCTTATTTGTTGTCTGACCCATTTGTAGTCTGACTAGGGTGAAGCTGATGTATCTGTATGGCTCTAAAAGAAATCAAGAATTGGCAACTCAAGGGAATAATTGTATTCAAGATAGAACTGCCAACAGGAATAATTGATTCAACCAAAGTTGACTATGAAAGCTTTTTATTAAATCCGTGACTTAAAAGTTGTGCCCCTTAAGAAATGGACATAGTGTCGATCTAAATGAATTTAAAGTGTTTGAAATGTGTCACTATTTTTTGAGAGGTTTCAGTAGTCTAAAAGCCTAATTTTCTACAGATAACTTTAGTTCAGTCTTTTCATCTACATCTGTGTACTTACATATACATAAGTTTATTAAAAAAATAGAGTAGAGTAACAACTCCTGAAGTGTGGTTCTAATTTCTATGTCCTCTCTGTAATGCAGTTTATGTTTCGGAGTTCCTGTGAGACATAAAACAAAATTTTTTCTTTAATTTATAATGTATGTAAATCATAGGGGTGTAAAAACAGAGGCAATTTTAGCTGTTTACACTGTGAAGGAAAGCTCTAACAGCTTCTCTCACTTTTTTGAAGAAGGAATAATTAGTACCATTTTCCCAAGGTGATAGTGGGCAATCATTTTATGACTGTTCATGATGAATTTTATAACCTGGATGTTTCCTTACCAGTCTTGTTTTAAACTGAAAATGCAAAATACAAACCAAAGAAAACCTCCTCATCTGTCCCTAATCGTTTTTCGCCATCCGTCATCACTGCTTGGGATGGCTGGCTCCTGCCGGAGGAGGAAAAAGGACTCTGCCTGGGATTCTGCTAAGGTCGCTACTCCTTCGATCAACAAAGGCCTTCTAAGGCTGGCCCAGCGAAGGCCAGTGTACAGCAAGTGGCTGCACCCACATCCAGCTTCGGGCAAGGGCAAGAGGCGAGATGTCTCCTCGAGGATTCACTTTTCCTGTCACACACAATGAGCCTCTCCGATTATCAAGAAGAGGCTGTGAAGGGTAACCGATCTGGAGATTATATCTCTCATCAGAAATCATGAGGGGTTACAAACTTTCTTGCAGGGTATTTCGAATTGCCAGTTCCGCCCTGCCCCACCCACTCCCTAGGAGCGCCCCTGACCACCTAGATGCCACCGGGAAGCCTCAGCCATTGCCGACTTGGACTACGACGCCCGTTTCGCCTTCCTATGCCTTCAGAGCCTGCGCGGTACTCTTCTGCACGTGCGCCCCTGGCTTGTGCGCCTGCGCGAGTCCTCTAACAACCGCGCATGCGGGGCTTGAAGATGCGGATGCGCGTGCGCACTGAGGGCTGCGTGGAATGGCTTGGCGTGAGGCATGAGGCCGGCCTGCGCATGGCAGCACTTGTCCCCTGCGTGTTGTCGATTTCTACGCAAACTTGGCGTTAGGCCTGAGCATAATCATGAAAATCGTACTAATTATAATGGGCTACTTTTTCTTGACTTTTTAATATCTGTTAGCTTGTTTAGCCTTCATACTACCCCTTTCTGAAAGGTAGGTGTTTTGTCCTCGTATTAGACTTGAAGAAACTGAGGAGAATAAATTACTTAGACCAAAGTCGCGTTGGGGCAAAGTTTGTTCAACGGAAATTGTAACGGAGACCCCACTCCGCCACTCAACTTTCAGAAACTGGTTATTACTAATTAAGAGCTGTTGCTAGAAATAGCTTCCACCCGGCTTTCCACCCAATATGGCTGAAGAGAACATTGAAATATATATATTGGGGGGGAAAAATCTGTTTAGCAGTGATGATGTAAAAGGGTAGGCCAAAACAGTAGTTCTTGGGAGCCCAGACTCGTATCTGACATAGAAGCTTTGCAAAGATGAGATTTGTAAACTAGCTATAGATAGAAAAAACCAAATTTGACTGTAAATTAAGGCATCCACAAGCCCGCCAGAATGTGAGAGGGGAGGGGATTCTCATGTGGTGAAAACGAAAATAAAAAGGAATAAACTAAAAAGCCCCAGGTTAGCCAGCTGAGAAACTGGTCATGCTGTTTTGAAAGTAAAAAGTAAACCGCTTTTTGTTATTCCTCTGAAAGAGATATAGAATAATGTTGATAAATGCTGTTTCATGTCAGGTAAAAAGGAAAACTAGGCCACACAACAGCAGGGGTCAAAGACTATCAATGATAAAAGGAATAGGAGAGGTCTAGGAGAAGGAAATGGCAACCCACTCCAGTGTTCTTGCCTGGAGAATCCCAGGGACCAGGAGGCTTGGTGGGCTGCCGTCTATGGGGTCGCACAGAGTCGGACAGGACTGAAGCGACGTAGCAGCAGGCCAGCAGCCAGTGGAGTAGAGACCTGAGAAAAAGAGGGCTACTGGCCTAACTTAAAGATACACGGGATTTGCCCTTTCCTGCACTGGGACGCTCAGAGGCTGGCAAAATTATGTTTTCTAGGGTAATAGGTTATCTGAACTAGAAATGGTGGAGGAAACCCCCCTCCCATGTAAGTTTTCAAATTTACATGAACTATAAGAATTAGGCAGAGGACTGCAGACTATTTTTAATCCATTGAGCTCAGTGATCTTGAAAAATTAGAAACCTATTTGGTTAAAACAAAACCACAATTACAGGAGAGATAATATCATGCTTTAAGTTATTGTGGTTGCCTTTGAAGTGCAAACTTATAAAGTCTAGTTTTGTATCAGGAGGAATTAACTGAGCTGTGAGCTTCGCCAAGATAAACTGTTCTAGGATATAGTATTGTTGCCCTTCTGGAGCTTGTTATTCATAGGTTTTGCTCAGTGTCACAAACCACAAGTTTTATCTTAAAGATCTAGACTTTTGTGAAGAGGAGACAGGCTGTTTTAAATATTTGAAATTTTATTCTGTTTTGACATAACATTCAGATAATCTATACCATGTTAGTATTCCCATCAGAAAAAAACAGATAAAACAGTATTTAGAAAGCAGTATCAGTAAATCTTATTAAGCATTAGATGTGTTTAAAATGTTGATATTAATTTATAAACTGTAGGTGTGTGTATGACTTAAAATCGAACATTTGTTAAAGATCTTCTACAATTATAAATCCAGATTTTCTGTAGGCTTCACAAACCAGAGAGGTAAATAGAATGTGCAGGAATCAAAGGATAAATGTATTATAAATATATATTAGTTGTGTTACCTAATTAAAGCCATAATCTGTTAATACAGCTATGGATTTATTTCAAAAATTTAATTGAAGTTATTATTGATAGTGTAGTTGTTGTGTTTTCCAATGTTGGTAGAGTGGTTAAAGTTCTTCACTTTCATAGAGTCCAGATTGAGCTGCCAGCCGCTGAAACTCTCCTTCAGGGTTAAAAGCTTGTTTCACATTCAGACCTTTCCCGTTAAGTGCTAAATATTTGCTGAAAGTTGGCCGGACACGTAACTGTTTAGGAGCTGGAAGAGTTTGGTTTGGACGGGCTGAAATAGATCAAATAAAAGGTAATTTAGAAAACTTGTTCTGAACACATGGATTATACTAGGTAGTAGTTATCAGACAGGAAAAGAAAAAACAGAAAACTGACTATGTATGAGAAGAATCCATCAGATTTTATACTATGCTGGAATTTGTATTTCTTACTAAATCTCAGTTAAGTTCTTTTTAACGCTTGACATAGCACTTTGTAAGAGCGTGACATACCTGTAACATCTAATCTTGTGTTACATGTGGTCACTCCAGCTTCATTAACTGCAGACACAGTATACCATCCAGCATCTTTTTTGTTTACATCTTTTATCAATAAAGTAACTCTTCCAGAGTTATCATGATATAAACTGGAAAAGATAATTACAAGTTGAAAGTAAAGGAATTAGTTTCTCTGTGAGAATTTACTTATGATGTCTCTGACGTACAGTCAGACTAGTAAGAAGACAAAAAAGCATTTGGAAATTCTGAGTCTGTAGCTAGTAATTGCATAACTGCTGCTTTTGTTGAATTAAACATCCCCCTAATCTAGTTTGTAGCATCTATTTCCTTGAGTCATCTTTTATTGTTAGTAAAAAGGTAAATCTTAGCCTACTTTAACTGCTAAATTTCTGATTAGTGGAATCTAGCTTAGTGAGGCTTATCATATTTCTATATATTTTTTAAAAAATTGAAGTATAGTCGATTTACAATATTATGTTAGTTTCATTTATATGTTTTTAAAATTAGACAAATTGAGGTCACAAATGCATGCCATTTATAATTCATTTCAAAGGATAACTGGATTCACCCAAGTACTCTATAGTTAACTCTCGAAATACTTATCCTACCTTATTCGATCAGTGTTGAATTGTACCATTTCATTATTTCTTTTCCAGAAAAGCTTTGGTGGAGGTATAGCCGAGATTTGGCATTCTAGCTTCACTGATTCTCCCTCAAAAACTTTTTTACTCTGTGGTTTGTAGATGAACATTGGTGCTCTTCTATGTTCTTTTGCTACATATTAATAAAAAATTCATGTATTTGAAATATTATAAAAATATTAAGTCAAACCAAAGTATTATGAAGTCTGTATGCTGATATAAAAGTTTTAGAAAGTACTAACAACAGAAATGGAAGGTTTTATGTTTCAACTTTAGTTAAAATAATATGCAGTACTGTTGTATATTGTATTACTATTTATAATTCTAAAACAGTAATGTAATGATGAATTGACTTTATAATCATGTTTCATTTGAAGAATTTATGTTGTCATCATCTTACCTATAGGGAGACAGACTGAGTGGTGGAAAGAGAACCAACAACTTGGGTCCAAATTCTGTTTGCCCCACCAGCCATGCACATTGGGGAAATTTTAGTTTCTCTGAGACTAAATTTTATTTATTATAAAGTGATACCCAAGTAATAGTGACTGCTGTGCCCACACCGAACAAAATTATGTGAGGATCAGTTGCAGTTATAAATGAAGAAGCACTTTGTAAACTATAAAATAATATACAAATGCCAGTAATTTGTATAAAAATAAAAACTATGTCTTTACTTTTCTTCAAATACCTGAGGGAAAAGAGTAATTGGTACTAAATAGTATAACCCTAGCTTTTCTGAAGGAGAAATGAGGAGATTGGATGAATGCCAGCTGAAGTCTTTTTCAGCTCTAACATTATAGTATTTTTGGAGCTGTTGGCATAGAAAGGTTTTGCCCTAAGCGTAATCCCTTGAATTCTGTGTGTGGTATGTGTGTGTTTCAAATTCCAGATCACTACTTTTTCCCTTAGTCTGAGGTCCCTTATTATATCATAGAATAATCTTACAGCATTTTCATTCATCTGGGTAGAATATAAATTCAGGATTGCCCATCATTTAGCCTGATCAAGCTTTTATATAATAAACAGTGAATTACAGCAAAATATCTCTGATATAGTATATCTTAAGTCATTACAAATGTGATATATTTAAAGCAGTTAAATTATAATATTTTAAAACAGGACATTAGTTTTATGAAAACTACTAAAACCAAGTTTGAGACATGAGTTTTATTCTACTTGTTTTCCAAAGCAAGTCAGCATATTTTTGTCATAATTAGAGACTACTTTCTGGTTAAAAATGCATAGCCTAAGGCTAAAAGTTAACATTTACTCTTCAGTTTTAAGCTATGTGTGATTATAACAACCTGTGAAAATGTGAATCATTATTTTAGACTATAGACCAGAAAAATGATTAGATTAAAATTTTTTATTTTAATGTTGAATCTACAAATGCTGTATGTCTAAAAATGTAACTGGAGTATACTACCTTCTTTGGTCGGTCTGAAGTGTTACCTTATTTCTCTTCCAGAAAAGCTTTAGTGGTAGATTTGTCATTGTAGTTTCTTTGAGTTTCCCTCAACCTCTGCCCACTGTGACTTTTACATAAAAATTGATGTTCTACTAGATTCTGTAGTATAGACATTAACCTTAAATGTAAAGTCTTTTTCAACAGTTTCTGTTTTGACTTGGCATGTCTCTAAGGGGCTCTCTGGTATCTCTTTGGAGCTTACCCAGGACGTCCAGCTGCACAGTGAAGGTGGCTTCTCCTGCCCTGTTCTTGGCAACACATGCGTAAGCCCCTGCATCTGACGCTCTGACCACTTCAAAGATGAGTGAATGAAAACCCTTCTCAGACACTATCATTTTGTGAAAATCATCTGATTGAACTGGTCGTCCATTCAGATACCATGACACATCAGGAGCTGGTAGTCCACTCACCTGGAAAGGGAAATACAAGATGATAGAATTTTAAATTACAGACCACTGGAACCCCTTTGTCCATTTATGAATTTTAACAATTTATTACCTGAGTGGGTTTGTGATTAAAAATGCAAAGTAGACTCTTATAAGGTATTTTCTTTCAATAATTTTTAACAAAGTAGTAAAAATGATAACCCTTGAAATTAATACATTATTTTTAGACTATCTCAAATCACATCTAGCTCTTTCATATACAACCTCAGGCTCCTTAAGATCTCTTAATTACTATATTAAGGACATTAATTTATGTTATATTGGTTTCCACAAGGAATATGGAAGTCATATGGCTTTTCTGGCTAATGGCAAGTGCAGATGAAGTCCTAGAGACACATATATATGAATCTTGCTAATCTAATTAATAACCTTTCCAAAATAGAGTGTTCTTGAGCTATAGTTCTGGTGTATGAATGACATTTTGTTAAGTGTTTTCATATAAGTCTTAACAGTCAAATGTGTACACTGAATTTCACTCATAAGGAATCTGGAAAAATATTTTATGAAGAAAAAGTTCTCCAAAATGATGTTAATAAAAATGTAGGCCTTTCTAAAAAGTTATTTTAGCCTGAAGAATTCTTCTAGGCCAAGAGAGGGCAGGGCAGCTTGAGTTTCTTGAAGAGGCATTTTACTTAGGAAATCCTATTGTTATGAAAACTTCACTTATATAGGGTATTAGGTGCTTGGCACTATTGTAAGTACCTTATACCTATTTACTCAGTTTATCTTCAAATAGCTTTATGACATTGGTACAAATTTTATTTCCATTTCACAGGGAAAACAAAAGGGTAGTGATGTTAAATGATTTGTCTCAGGTTACACAGCTGGAAAATGGCAGGGCCAGGATTCTAAGCCAGGTGAACTTATGTATAGTGTTCTCATCCACTGTACATACTACTTGGGCTTCCTTGGTGGCTCAGACGGTAAAAAATCTGCCTACAATGCTGGAGACTCAGGTTCGATTCCTGGGTCAGGAAGATCCCCTGGAGGAGGAAATGGCTACCCACTCTAGTATTCTTGCCTGGAGAATTCCATGGACAGAGGAGCCTGATGGGTTATAGTCCATGGGGTGGCAAAAGTCAGACACGATTGAGTGACTAACACACACACACACACACACACACACACACTACTTGTCAGGCTGTGTAGAAAGTTATGAAGAGGAGGAAACATTTTTCAAAACTTAGTATCCCATTGTTAATTTTTCTTCAATATTTTTGAACTTTTTTCTTACTTTGAAGTCCATTCTGCAGAATCTTCCTTCTTCAACTGTCATGTTCTCTGGCACTTGAATGAAACGAGGTGGGTAAAATTTCTCCTGGATTGCATCCTGATCATTCACATCTCCCCTTGAAGATGATCTGCTTCTACAAAAACATTTTAATAATCACTATGCAGAAGAATTGTCATTGCTCTTTCTTTCATGCAAATATAATTTAGCCATCGCATTTGAAACCCCAGAGGCTATGCTGTTTGATCTGATAGTGTAGTAACAATGGAGAGAGGCTGCAGAGCTGTATTTATCTGTGGCATATTTGATGACTATTAGAAGTGGTAGCAATTTAAAAACATCTGGTACAAATGATACATCTTTGTTTCTTTTTTTCAGTGCCATGAATTGATGAAGAAGCTAGTGTATTAAAATGCATGGACAATTCTAGTCACATGCAATGATTGTATAATTAGGATTGGGTTTTCATTGTGAGAAAGTTTACTCTGGAAACATGGTACTGGCTTATTTGAACAAAGCATTTAAAAATTTTCCTCTGAGACAGTTGTGATAATTAACAGGTAAAAATTTTTATCGTCATCTTGGACATTAGAAAATTCACATTGTTTTTCTCTATTGGTTCCAAAGCAGTATAAACATTATTTTCTTTTTTATAGCCATACTTTTTTATTGTGTGTATTAGTTGCTCAGTCGTGTCTGACTCTGTGAACCCATGGACTGTAGCTCGCCTGTCTCCTCTGTCCATGGGATTCTCCAGGCAAGAATACTGGAATGGATTGCCATTCCCTTCTCCAGAGGATCTTCCCAACCCAGGGATCGAACTTGGGTCTCTCACACTGTGGGCAGTTTGTTTACCATCCAAGCATAGTTAATTTACAGTGTTTTGTTAGCTTCAGGTGTATAGCAAAGTGATTCAGTTATATACAGATATATCTTTTTCAAATTCTTTTCCATTATAGGTTATTATAAGACATTGAATATAGTTCCTTGTGCTGTACAATAGGTCCTTTTTGTTTATCTGTTTTGTACCTAGAAGTGTGTATATGTTACCCTAAACTCCTAATTTATCCACCCACCAACCCGCTATCCCCTCTGGTGACACTTTTTTATAAAAGGTCTGTAAGAAACTTGAGGATTTTGTAAATATTACATTTTAAAATAGCAAAATACATACTTCTTTAAAATTAAAAACATTTTTTTTACCTTACTTGTGATGTAGGAACTTGCAGTCGTGCATGTTCTATATTGTGCTGCTTGAAATTAAAACAAAGTGATAATGTTAACATGCCACTGTTAGCTTGAAATTAAGCAGAATTTAGTAGCTGTAGTTGAAAGGAACATTTCTGTTGTGGTTGTGTTTGTATTGTCATAGATAATTCTGTATATTTAGCTGTTAAGCATTTAAAATATGGTATATTAACCTTCCAGTATTCTAGCAAGAAATCTATAGAATTAAGACTATTCAATAGATATGGTTTATGAAAATTAACTAAACTTTGAATTGATGGTGGTTCGTTTTTCAAATGACTATATTTTATGTCAAAGGATGATGAATCCCCCTGGTGTATTTGAAATGGGAGCACATAGTACAGAGTGTCTTTTGGTAAAACAGTAATAGTCATGAAGTCACTTGTGTTGGCAGTAGATAACAGGGTATTATGCCTACTACTCTTAAGTGGCACCAACAACAATAAACACGTATTAGACTGGAAAATACTTTTGTTTTTAGCTCAGGGCACAAAATCTTGATGGACACCCTGGAAACTATCTGCAGAGCTATAAATAGCCTTTGGAAAACAATATTACTTCCTGCTTAATAAGGATGTATTTAATTTAAGCAACTATCTTTTAGGATTTATATCTGAGCACCAGAAAGTTATTCATATTTGAGGATGAAATCAGGAATTGATGAATATTATAATTAATTGGTAAGATATTATGTGCCTGTTTCTCATATTTCATTGTGCTTGGTATAGTGAGAGATACAAAGAAGTAGAAATTATAGTCCTTACCTGGACATATGAAAAACATCTGTATAGCAACATAGCAAATAAATACAGGTAATTTATTTGGGATGAACTTTAATTTTGTTTGTATTTTGTCATTCTAAAGCAAAATTCTTATAACTCTGCAATAATTGTTGGTGAGGCTTTGAGTTTCTCTAAGCAAAATGTCAAAAGAACAGTCAGTATGGCAGAAACCAACACAATATTGTAAAGCAATTCTCCAATTAAAAATAAATCAAATATAAAAAAGAGCAATCAATGAATTTTTTGGTAAAAAAAAAATCCACTTAAAATCATAATATCCAAATTAAGATTTTTACTTTTTCCTCTGGTGGTTTGAATATGTATATAGATTTGTATTCATAGGTATGATATTTTTGGTTATATGTATTGCATTGGCCAAAAAGTTCATTCACGTTTTTTCATGACATCTTAGGGAAAACACAAGTGAACTTTTTTGCCAACCCAATAGTTTGATGACATTTTGTATAATTTAAGTAGACTGTTTGTAAGATTTTTCTTTTCTGATTTCATAATATATTTTGCTGCTCTTTTCTTGGTATTATCATCTTCATTTTAAAGTTTTTGAAGAACTAATGAGAAAAACAATACATCCTTGCCCTTGAAATCATACATTGAATTTGTAATATAATGTTACTTTGAGTAACATCATCAATATAATGTTACTTTGAGCTACTTCTTCTTATAGAGATATATTTAGGTCTTATTCTTGCTTTAATCTCCTATTCCAACTCCAGAGCCCAACACATAGTAGATGGTTCATATGAATTAGTTGAATAAGTGAACATGTGAAGTGTTCAGTAGCTGGGAGAGCTTTAAGTTCTGTCCTCAGGCCCTGGTTACTTGCTGTGCTGAAAGACCGCACTGTATCTTGTTTAGTAGTCTAGTCACACCTGGTGAAAAAGGGGAGTGTTAGTTATTCAGTCCTGTCTGACTCTTTGTGACCCCACGGACTGTAACCCACCAGGCTCCTCTGTCCATAGGATTCTCCAGGCAAGAATACTAGAATGGGTAGCCATTCCCTTCTTCAGGAGATTGTCCTGATCTAGGGATTGAACCTGGATCTCCTGTGTGAATAGTCTACCTGCAATGTGGGGTTCGATCCCTAAATTGGGAAGGTTCCCTGGGGAAGGGAATGGCTACCCACTCCAGTGTTCTTGCCTGGAGAATTCCATGGACAAAGGAGCCTGGTGGGCTACAGTCCGTAGGGTTGCAAAGAGTGGTACACAAGTGAGTGATTAACACAGAGTCACATTTAATAGAAACAAGCTTATTTTCCTCTTATACTTTAGAAGGATGCGTTTTAGGAGGTTGGAATTCTTGAATGCCTGATTTCATCCCTTTTGCTCCCAGTTTCTGTGGACTTTTTAAGAGGGACTAAGAGATAACTATAGAAGGAAGACAGGAAGCAATAGCTGTTCATTCTGCCTCTCCAGTGGTACACTTCTCTTTGAGGTTAACTTGTTAAAATAAAATTGGTCAGGAACATGCCTGTGGAATATTCACTTTATGTTCTCCATAAAGTTAATCCCTTCTTGGAAAGGATGTTTTTGTTAGTCCCGGAGCCATTATTCATAAGGGTTTTGTTGTCTGTTTTGTTTTTAATAAGCATTTCAAAATACATGGAACATGTCAAAGGAATTAGATGTTTCATTAGTACATGAGTTTATTTTAAAACTTTGAAATGATAAACAGCTTATGAGAAAAGGTTGCAATTACTTTCTTTAGAGTTTTAACTTCTGTCCTGTTAAAGATTTACAACTCATAATTTTTCTGTCCATGTAGACGTTGTAGGGAGAGTCCTAGGTCTAACTGACCCCTAAATGTCCAGATGAAAAGTGACACTATTAGCCTTCTGGTGTTTTGACTTTGTAACATTTCATATGGAGATATTAGAACCACCAGAAAATAGGGTAAAGTTAAAAAAATCTTTGTGTATGTATTCAACTAGTCATGGCCTGTCCTTTTTTATATCTAATGCAGCATGGAAGTAATTGACTTTTGCTTCAAATGCTATTTATAAATATTTAGAAAAACATAAATCTAAAAATCACATGAAAGAAAAGTGCTCCAGTTAGATAAAGATTAGTTTAATTTACCTGTGCTGAATCTTGTGCCTCACTGTCATTTTGACCTTGAAACACAGCAGCTGCATTCTGTGGTCCTAGCAATCTGCGAGCCATCTTCTCCTCATACGTTAGCCGCTTTAAAGAAAAAATCATAAAGGAGATAGTAATGAGATTTAATAAAAGTTGTTTATATGATCTTACCTTAAAACCACCAAGAATTATAACAAAGAAACATGATTATGCCTTTTGAATGATAGATACTATATTTTTAAAGAAAGCATTTTCTTTCATTCAAAGCATTTCCACTTCCTTCATCTGTAAATATTCATCTATGTTTTCTAGGAAAGACAAGCTTTGTTGTTGTTCAGTTGCTAAGTCATGTCTGATGCTTTGCAATCCCATGAAATACAGCACACCAGGCTTCTCTGTCCTTCACTATCTTCCTGAGTTTACTCAAACTCATGTCTTTTTTTGTCTTTCAAAAAGTCCGAACAAATTTCATGCAGAGAAATACAGAATAGGATCCAAATATTCCCTCTTTTTAGATAATCCTATCCCTTGCTGATTATATGGGCATAGCTCTGTGAGACAGAAACAACTCTCTTACTGAGATAAGCTTTTATAGTTCTACTGTCTTTTTATACAAAATAGGCATCTTGCTTACTTGGTTTCCATTGTGAAGAAGGCTGTCCTTGCATTTTAGCTTTCTCTCCAAATCTTGAATAAGAGCTTCTTTTGATCCTTGTATTTCGTGGTCAGGAGTCCTTGGTGTGAGCTTAGCATTTGCATTTTGGTATGACTTAACATTTACAGGTTGGCCTACTGAGGGTTGTTGATAGCTTTAAAAAGAAAAAAAGATTAAAAAAAAATCTTTAAGAAGTGGTAAGATAGAATTGGCGTCTTTTTGTCAGTCACCTTTAGGTAGGTTGAATTTACCACTTAGTATTGCTGGTGTTATTAAAATACCAATTGCCTTAATAACAGTCAAGAAGAATTTTATAGGAATGGTTACCAGCTGTTTTTTTCTTTTCTTTTTGTCTTTGCAAATGAAAATTAAGTAGCAGGAGGAGCAATGTAGATTAGACATAAGAATGTTTTTCCCTGACGATCTTCCCTAAAGAAGTGAGAGTGAGTCCGGTAAGTGGCAACGTGAGGGCTCTTCCAATATTCCAGTTGAATTTCCTAAGTTTGATTTATGGGTAGATAGTAAGCATTAGTGTACTGGAGCTGACTCATATGGGCTTAAGAGAATGATTTTTAGTGTCTCTTCCCAACTCACTGTGATATCATGTTGAAAGTCTGAAATTGATTGGTGGGAATATATACACTAGGGAAATTGGTTAGTACCACAATTACCACCTTCCAGAGCTGATTGTTAAACATTTACCAGCATGACTACTGGTGTTCAGTGAATATTCTCTTGCTTTGAATTGAATTTACAGTTTATATAATCTCTGGCTTTAATTTCTACTTCCTATTAATTTCATATTCTAGATATACAAGTATGGCACTATATAACAACTTCTAAAGTAATAGTTTCTTTAATGTTGCTAAAGTGATTTTTAGAGAAAGATGATTAGAGGAGGAAGGAGAAAGAAATGTAAAATGAGAAAAAAGGGGGTCTGGAAAAAAACAAGTTTGAATGGCATTTGAAGAGCTTGGTTTAAATCCTTATTTCAAATTCCAGTCCTAATTTTATTCTAAGACGTCCTTGCACCTCTCAGAGTTTCCCTGCTGATTCTGATAGAGGGCAGGGGTGGTGTTTAGGGAGTCCTGTATTTTTAGATCTGTTAGGTAGCTCATGCTTTTAACAGAGTTTATTCATATTTTACCTAGTTTATTTACTTAGGGCGCTGCAGGTGCTAGCTTATACCCATTTAGTATAATAGATATTATATTATGTGGGAAAACGGGCCACTGCCCTCTGAATATCTTGCCATTATCATAATAAACATTCTCCAGATATCCAGATGAGGACGCCTTGGTCTGTTCTCTGGTATGTTTGTGTTCAAAAATTCTCAAGGATCATTAAAAGAACTTGTAAGCTAAGGGGAAATATATTTCCTCTGAGTGGAGCCAGAGTTTTAATTTTTGCAGACTTTGGGGACTTGGTTAGTAATCTCTAGATTGTAAATATACTGAGGGGGGAAAAGATGTTTTATTACTCATTGTTGTATTATTTATATCTACTAACCCAAAGCTTTCAAAATAGTGAGGTGATACTATTAGTTCGATGAATGAATATTTTTCATTGTGTTCAAGATACTCTATTGAAAGATTGAAAGTTGAATATATACGTTTTCCCTTGTTGTATTCCAGATATTCAGGATTGCCTATTATCAATCCTCAACAAAAGTCTGATTTGTTCAGTGAAGTAAATAGCCAAACAAAATGTTTAAGTAAATAGTAAGGTGATTTTGTTTTAAGATTGAATTCCCAGGTCAAAGTGTTAAAATTCCTTTGGTTTTATAGATCTACTATTTCTTCAAATGTATGAAGTTAGAATAGTCTGCCTGGTTTTTTTTTTTTTCTTTTTTTTCTTTTGAGCTAGCCTGCCATTTTTAAAAAAGTTACATGTGTTTGGTAAAGGGAGTTAACATTAAATAATAATTTTGTCAAACTGTCATATTATAGTGTAATATGTCTGAGAAATCCTAAAGGACTGTTAAAACCAAGGCTGAGAATTACTTATATGTATTTATGTAACTTCAGTCACTTTGTTCACTGAATACCTGCATTATTACCATCTTACATGGTTTAAGGGTTAGGACTTGCTATCTGTTCATAATTAGAAACTAACGTTATACTTGCGCGGTGCTTTATAGGGTTTTCTTCCCCTAACATTAATCACCCAAATCCTTACTTTCGTTATAGATCAACATACTGAATCACCTAGCAGGTAAGGTAGTCATGCTGAATGTCACACAGCAAGCTTTTTGAAAGGAGTACTTAAAGAATTCCTCTAAATTTCCAGTCTGTGGGTTCAAGCAAATGTATGAAACGTTTGCTTAAGGGTTCCTTACTGATGAAAAGCTAACTAAAGCTTTCAAGCTTCTCTAGGTCAGAATCCAAGGAATTATTTTGGAAGACAGGGCAAACCTAAGCCCATCATAACAATGAGGGAGTTGTGCACAAATGTTCAAAGGGCCAGAGCTTTCCACCCTGTGCAGCTGGACACTGCATGGGTATCAAGTGGCTGTGGGAAGATTAAAAGAGTTATCTATGATTGCTGAAAATGGAACAGCTAAAGCTGGATCTTTGATCTCTAGTTTGGGGTCCTTCTGTGCTTTATTTCTCATCCTCTCCATTTCATCCTTTTTTCCTCTCTTTAGTTCTGTGCACGGAACTAAGTACATGGTCATGGCTTGCTAGTATTTATTTGATGGCCTTCTTTTCTGGACAGGAATTTGGAATAGGATTAAAGACTTTACTAAGAAGAATATGGTAGTCAGAAAAGGTTATTTGAGATTTAAATATGCTTATACAGGAAATTTAGAAATAATTGAAAGCTAGATGGAAAAAGATTATCTGGGTAAAATGTAACTAAGAAAAATCTACAATGTGTGATAATGGGTATAATGGGAATTTGGGATGGAAGAGGAGGAGAGAGCTCTTAATTCCTGAAGGCATCTTTTAAAATTATTAGGTCAAACCTGTGAGAATACCTTTTTGTAGGTCAAACTTTTTATCAGCCATTTCAGATGGTTCTACTTAGTATCTATAGGATTCTAACAAATGTATTTGGCTTTCTTGGTTTTTATTTTTAAAAATATTGAAAAATTTTCTTTGCAAGTAGATTTGCTGTGGTTAGACCACTAATAATTGGAATCTCTTGAAAAATTAGCTTCTAGAGAAGACTGAGAGAAATTAGCAAGAATTTCAGCTTATCTGTTGATAAGCCTGTAACCAACAAAACATATTCCATCAGTTTTTCAGATGCCTCTGATTTAATTCTCTTGATGTTCTAGCCAGCTGAGGAATAGGAAAACTGATAGCCCAAAGTTTGCATAAGCACAAAGTATTTAGTTCATGTTTTAAAAAAAGCACAACCACTATGTCCTTCTTCATATCAGTTTCTCCTCGGACAGTTTTAGGGATGTGGAAATAGTACATGCTTGCATAAGTCTGCAGGTATTCTTCCCTGTATTTAGATTTGTCCAACCAGTTTGAACAAAGTGTGGTTTTAATGATCTTCGAAACTTTAAGGTCACGAACCTTTATCTATTCAAGCCTTTTTTTCCTGATCATTGGGAAAATACACATACTTTAGTGTCTGAATCCCATATTTTCTTTTTAGCCAACTGGATATTCAGGATCAGAGGGGAAGATGGATAGTAAGAAAAGACTAAAACTGAGAAGAAACTTAATAGCCTCTGCTTATGTGAGAGGAAATCCTATCTGAAGAAGAGCAGACAGGTGTTCACCTCAGCTAAGCTTAGAACCAGAGTGATCAAATTTATAGCATGAGGAACTTAAAGCTGGGGAGGTAGTTCACTGTTCTTGGGTATGTTAGAAATTTTTTTTTTGAAGATGGAAAATAATAGGTGAATAATTGTATAATATGAAGTAATAGGTGATTTGGGTTTAACTCAACCTGGACACTGGAGAATGGGTCAGATGACTTATTGCCAGTACCCTGGTTCAAGATGTTCCAGGAGAAATATGGAATGAGACCATGAGGTCACATTGACTTTTTAGATAGTGAAGAATGACGTACATAACCCATCCCTCTTCTCCCCCCAGATACTAGCTCCCAGGATACACAGTTCTATCTAACTCTGTCTCTCTCTCTCTTATATATATATATATATATTTTTTTTTTAAAGCTCACTTACTTGGAGTCCACAGTGGAAGGGATTTTACTGCTGCTGTAATCAGGCTGTGATGGTAATATGGAGCTGAGGAAGCTGGCTGGAGACTGGTTATAAGTAGCTGTAACCCTTTGGCCTGGGTTGGAGCCAGTAAGCTGCTGAGGAGAAGCAGGGAAAGCAGAGGAGGACATAGTGATATGAGAGCTCACAGTTGAGGAGGCAGAATATCTTTGCTCTGTGCACTGGCGGGGTTGGATGGTAATGGAAGACTGTTTGGTCTGGCTAGAGTAGCTGGAGATTTCCGGTCCGGGAGGCTGAAGTCTGGAGCCACATGGATTTTGGGATTGGATGAAGTGTTTTGGACGTTCGTAGTTAAACATGTTTAGCTGGTTTATGGAAGTTGAAGGCAACTTATTATTGTAATGACTTGCTCCTGAAGGGGTGGGGTCCTGAATCTGGGTCTGCAAGCCTGGAATTACAGAAGGTTGCAGTGAATCAGAAGCGACCTTGGTCTGTGCCTCCTTGTTGAGATCCTGGGAATACAGTGCTCCTGGCTTTGATGGAGTGGCCTTCTCTTGAAGAATATTGTTCCTTCAAAAGAAGAAAGTGATTCAGTTACAGTATTTGCATAAAAATGGTACTGTTTAAGATCTTTAGGAGTTTTTTTTTTTTTTCTCTTAAAGCTTATGTGCTTTCAAAGTCATCTCAAGGTGGAACTTTTCTGGCTCATAGACTTTCCATTCCTTTATGCATTGTCTTTGCACAAATGACTTCCACTTGAGAATAAGAAAAAATAATTCATTAGTGTTTGCTTACCTCTGGGTGATTCTTCAAGCACACCTGGGGGCTTCAAGATGTAGGAAAAGTTTTGATTTTGAGTTTGGCAAGTGTTTGTTTATGAAAAGAAAATTTGTGATGTTGCTCAGTGTGATAATTTTATTTCATGTTTAGCTTTTGACCAAAGCCTGCAGTTTTATTAGCCACAGAGAGTTACTGACTTTAAATTATTAGCAGTTAAATATATTAGCTTCTATTCAGTTTGAATTCTTCCCATTGCTCATCAGTACCAATGAACAGCTCTTCTGATGCACCATTAATTCATGCCTTGGTGATCTTTGATGAATGACATGGTGAATCGAGGCGAGCAGCGTGCTTCTTTTCTAAAGAACATTACTGTCCATATTTGCTCCTTCATCCTTTTACAATTTCACAAAGTACAGCAAACATCTGTACTTCACTGTTGTCAACCGTGAGTGGATTTTGTTTTACCTTATAATTCACTGCCTCTTTTTCTCCCTTTGATTCCCGATTGACCATAGTACCAAACTAGATGATAATTAAGGAGTGACTGCATTCATGTATCTCTCTGTATGTATATAAGTTACTGTATTCCAGAACCCTTTGTAGTTTTTGTTATTTTTTTATTTTATTATCTAGTCATTGGTCTTGCTGTTCTCTTAATTATTTGGTTTCCCTTTAAATTATTTTTGTGTTTAGTATGTATTTTAGGCTAAATTTTGAAATTGCTTTCATTCCTGTATTATTTTTTCTTTTGAAATGACAAACGGGATGTACGAGGGAAGTAAGGCAGCTTTGAAGCTAGCCTATACTTTTCCAAGAAAAGATGGTTGCCATTTCTCTTACTTAACTCTGCATTGGCACTCCTGACCTTTGACAGTAGGTCCCCATTTTTCCTTTGATGAATCATTTGCCCCTAAAATCAGCCTCAAAGAAATATTTTCACCTGATTTTTTCTATTAGTGTGGTAAATCTGGGAAGGACTATATATATACTTTACACAAAAAGACTAGCCCCATAAATTGTTTTAACATTGATTCTGTCTTTATTCAAAATATCAAGTAATTTAGTTCAGAATATGTTTAGTTTGTTTCATATAGTATAAACCAAAACTGAGGTAATGCTAAATCAAACTTTTAGCTAGTAAAATTAACCAAATTGTCATAATTGAATCATAGTCTTATGATTATTTAATTTCCTCTCTTGAATAAAGTATCATTTTTAATGAAAAATTTCTAAACCCATCAACTTGATTCTCAGGTTGTATGTATAGTTTAGAGTTTAAACAGTTTTAGGAAAGAACAAAAATGCAACTAAACAGTCAAGAGAAAGATTCTATTGAAAAAGGCACTTAAAAAGTCAAACATTTCTTAATTTTGAGTTTATGAACACAAGCACATTCAACTAGGGTGCATTTTAGTAACTAAGTATATTAAGCCTTGAAATTACTGGAGAAAAACATCCAAAAGGAGGCTTTAATTAGATACTCTTAAAAAAAGAGACTATTTAAAGGCAAGTAGTTTTATAGTTATGGGTTTACTCCATTGCAGAATTGAATCCAGTGTTTGATTTTAAATTCCTTTGTGGGCTGACAGATCATTCAGATTAATTTCAAATAGCAAGGAATAAACTGTTAAACAAACAGCCAGTAGATATTTTCCAGAAAGTTCCTTGTTTTTCTTTATGTGTATTTTTAGAATGTCAACTGTCTTGTACATTTTGATATCAGCTTACATAGTTAACAATTACTGTTATTTTTTTAAAAAATTCAATTAAAAATATGTTCTTTCAAACATTTCATTTTCATGTCTGAAGAAAATTTTGTACAGATGTTCATGCAGATAACTCTGGAAGGCTTTTCTTCGTGTTTGTAGTTACTGTTCAACAGTCAGTTCTATAATCCTTCTGTTTTATGACAGTATCATTTTATTCCAAACAATGTTAAATAAATTTCAGATATTTTATGAATAAAGTTCTATTAACACTCCTGTTTAGAAAAATCTTAACTTTCCCCCCTATCTCTAATATACCACAAACTTAAACAGAAAACTGAGGATATTTTGAAGCTATAGGACATTGCACAGTTACAGTTAGGCCAGGTGTCCTTTTTTCAAAGAAAACTGATGATTGAAAAATAATGACACACAACTATCTTTCCTTCTACTTTTTTTAATGCCTTATAGTTTCAGTGGAATGAACAGGCCTCATTCTTTTCAAATCTTTGTATAATGCCATAATGATCTTGTGGCTTTTGAACTTTTTATCTGAAGATCACCTTTTACATACTGTACTGATTTGGACAAAAAACAAAAACAAAACCCCAAACTGAAGCAGGAATAAAGAAGGGACTTACTTACCCGAGTTCCAGAGAGTGCCAGCTGGGTTAAACCTACTACTAAAGGGAAGGAAGAGGCATCCTCTTCCCTCGCAGACTAATCTAGTGGCTCTGTGCTTAGTATTATAGCACCACTGACTTTTATCAGCTGCCAAGCAGTGACATCTGATGTGCTTGCCTGTCCATCTACCTATGCTGGCATGTCAAAGTAAGAGTCCATGATCTAAACAATATCTCAGATGTCTTAGTGATATTTAAGGAGTGGGATTACATGAGCTGCTCTTGCAAGCCTCTTTATTTTAGATGTGAACTTTGACTAGGATCTTTAGCAAGCTCATGTAGGGGGGACAGAAAAGAACTGGGAAATGGGAAAAGGTGTAGAGAAAACTCATTTTTGTTTTTTGTGATTGGAGCTTTGATCTTCCTTGTTGAAAAAAGGACTGAAAGGGAAATAGTATTCTAAGACTGACATTCTGACTACTAATACTTCTCCAGAAATAAGACCACTGATGGATGGGCTTCAAATTGGTTTCTGTTAAATAGCTATTCATCTGAAGACCTCTTTTTTCCTCTCTTGCCAAATGGAAGGAAGGGTGGAGTGGTATTCAAGCAGTTTATTTCAAGAGAGGGAGTGTGTCTAGGCAAAGGCAAGAGAGCAGAATGATGGTGTCATGTCACTAGGAAGGTGGGGAAGTGGAAAAACATGATTTGGTCTGTATAGCAAGTTCTCTGAATCTGTATGGCATACAGATCCTTGACCTTATACCTTTATACTTTTATTCTAAAAGAGTTAAAACACTTAAGAAACTATCCATCAAGCACTGTTTACAATTAGGGCTCTGTCCTGTAGCTCTCTGTATCTCCCTTGCTTCTTATAGTTACACAATTTCCTTTCTCTTTTCACCAAGGAAACCATGTTAGCCTTTTATGTTTCCATTTTTGTGTATGTGTATGCAGAGAAGTATATAATTAGGAAGAAAGCTTCAGATCAACAAGAGGTGGTAGAGAGGGGTAGGTGAAATGAGGATCAGGCTAATCGAGTGGAATTATCCATATTTAGTGGCTTTAGCTTTGGTATAGTTCTGTTGTTTAAAACATAATTATTTATTCCCCTCCCTCATGGTCTTAGAAAAGGCCCTGATGCTGGGAAAGATTGAGGGCAGGAGGAGAAGGGGACAACAGAGGATGAGATGGTTGCATGGCGTCACTAATTCAATGGACATGAATTTGAGCAAGCTCTGGGAGATGGTGATGGACAGGGAAGCCTGGCGTGCTGCAGTCCATGGGGTCGCAAAGAGTCGGACACGACTGAGTGACTGAACAGCAACCCTCATGGATCCTCCAGCCGTGATGTAATTGCCGTGTACATCAGGGTCCAACAAATAGATAATTGAGCACAAATGAGCCACTTAAAATTCTTCACAGCTGACCATGTAGGTGTATATTCCTTTGGTGTTCAGAGAAAGTTTGATGACAGCCACCTTAGTAGAAAAAGCATTACTTAGTAGAAAAAGCATGCTGGACTTGATGAATAGGCATTTGCTTACTTATTGTAAGGAGTCTTATTGTAAGTATTATTATAAGGAGTCACCCCAAATATTTCTCCACTCCTGCTCATTGATATTTCAGTTTACCTTAATATGGGCAAAGCCTTCAATCCAAATTAGACTTAAACTGTAAGTGCAAGTCACAATAAAAATAACAAGAATAGCAGACACATATTAGCCTTTAGTTTGAGCAAGACCCTAATCTAGGCACTTTGAATGTGATATATATGACTGATACTTGATTCTTCCCAAGAACAGAGTTTGATTGAGATATGCCCTACCAACCAAGTGTGGTAGATGCCCAGGACAAACTTAAATCCCCAATTTTGCCAAGGGCAGATTCTAAATGTTCCATAGTTGAGGAAGAATTTTAGTTTTTATTTATTCTTTATCATTTACACTTTTCCTCTTCTTTCCCCTTGACCTTTGTAAGATAAACTTTCATTATAGTGTGGTAGCTCCATGGTACATTGAGGCTAAGGTTCTTGCTACAATTAGGGGATCAAGAGATGGTTTTGGAAAGGTAGATGAGATCTTTTATAACACCATTCTCAAAAGTTAAGGGTCTATGTTCAGTAATTTACCATGAATCTGTTTTTCTGCCTTTTAATATTTGGTGTGCTTTTTAAAATGGTGTTTTATGTTTTCTCACAAATATGGCTGTTTGAATGATTTGGTGCTTATTTGAGAAAAATCATCCTAAAGCTGAAAGAATTACGATATCTGGTGGGTGAACCATATTCCAGCCTATCCAGTAAAGACAACTTTCCCATTTCTGTCTCTAAATTATCAGTAAGGGCCTCTAGTAAATTATTCTAATACCTCCCAAGATGTATGTAACTTCCTACTGTTGCAGGTGTTTCCTACTGAAATATTTCCTGTTACATGTCCAGGAAATTCCTTCTTGCCTCATCATCAGGGGGTAGCTGTTTAACTGTCACTCATTCATCTCTTGTTTTTTAAAATGTGAAGTATATATGTGATTGTAAAAATGGTGCTTTGAACTTCTGACCTTCTTCAGAGGTCAGATGTGTGTATGAGACTAATTTCTATCTTTCTCAGCTATATCAACTGAGAAGGAAAATGTCCTATTGAAGATGAAAGGACAAAAGAATGAAGAATGTTTTATTCATTTTCAGATTATGCATTAATCACTCTGATTTTTGAAGTTCTGCACAGCCATATAGCAAAAGGGAATTGCCTTGGAGCAGTGGACTTAGTCTTATTCTTCTCAAGAAATAATGGTGGATACTTCACTGGATTTGAAGTCAGACAGTACAAATGATAGTATTAATTTGGTTAATGCTCTGCAGCTTTCTAGACACATTAACCTTTTTATTATCTATTTTGGAGACCTGAGTGTAAGTGCTCACTCTACTGCATATCTCTGAACTTTAATAATTAAGTGAAAAACAAAGTATCTATTTTACTAAATCAGTGTTGCAGAGACTCAAATGAAACAAGAAATCCTACAGTGGACTATTTTGTGGTATAATGTATCTCTTCAACTAGGTTTTTTTCTGAGGAAGGGACTCTTTATTACTTATTTATCTTGTCTAGGAGAATATAGCTCTTAGTAGACATTCAGTAAAAACCTGCTAACATTCATGGAACTTTTACCTGATAATTGTCCCCACAAATGATTTTATTAATGAAAAAGACAGTAGTCTTATATGAAAGATACTAATAGTAAATTCAAGGCCTTTTTAAGTCCTAAAGTCTCACTGATAAACACAGGTACTTATGGAGAAAAACTGTGGATGTGAGTATTGATCATTTTACCAAGGCACAGAAACTGACAAACATATACAGTGTGCTTAATAAGTGTTTGTTGAATAAATTGCAGTCTTATTTATTTTTCCACACACCCATTCTTCCTTGATCCCGTGAGGAATCTATTTATAGGGGTAGCTACTGCCCAGACGACTGGTGATCCCATTAAGGGGATTCCAGGAGACCAACTGAGAATTCACAATTATTGGTGGAGATAACACTGACCTTGGTAAAAAGACAATGCAGTGAAGTAATAGTTCCTATTTATTGAATTCTTACTATGTATTTCACACATTGTTCCAGGTCTGTTAGTCTCCAATGACTTTTAAGTGTCGGTTTTTAGGTTTTTAAAAAATAAGTATTTTGGTTTGAGGTTTGTGTTTGGGGGCTGGGGATGGTGCTGATTGTGTTGTTTTAAATGCATGGCCTACTTGGCAAATTCACGTACTGATATATCTTTCTGTTTATACTTTTGTCCTTTATATGCAAGGACAATTGTGTCTGTATTCTAAGACTAACCATGTAGGAATCTGTATCAAAAATGTTTTACCTATTTGTATTGAGATAGGACATTGAATTCTAATTTGGGAAAAGACTCCATTCTTCAGAAACTTTTGCTATTTCAGTGTTGTTGTTGTTGTTTTTTCCCCAATAAGTCTCTGTAGCAAACCCTTAAATATGTATCTAAGACTTATTATTTCTTCCTATTTCTAAAACTTACATGACTTACTGTTTCAGCCTTGGTGAAATGCATGATGGAGATATGACAGAGGTAAAGTGATTCATCCATGCAAGCTTGCCGAGGGCAGGAGCTTTGTCATGTTCACTCTTCTTTATAGAGAGCCAAGAACGTTTGCTGGATGTGTGAATGTTAGGTCTGTCTGCCCTTACCATTGTGGTTGTAGCTCAGAGGAATTTTCATTGATGGTGCAGAACTCCTCCTTTGGAACCTGGATCTCATGTTCATTGTGACTGGCTGTTTCAGGAATAGTTGGCATAAGGTTTATTGAAGTATTGTCTGGATTTTTATCCTTTGTGTGGCTGTCACTGCTCCAGGGAAAGGAGACCAGTTTTGGAGGAAATTTTCTTGTGGGTGACTTTCGAGAACCCTCTGATTTCTCCACTTTTCCTTCTGAAAAATAGAATTAGTCACCAGTTCACATAGAAACAGAGAGAATCTTCCTCTTGGCTCAGGGCTGAATTTGAGCAGGGTGATCCTGAGGAGTAATTACCTGGAGAAACAAAGAGTCTTGCTGTGGAGACTGCAGTCCCAGCCTCATTTTCTGCAATGCACTTGAAGTCTCCAGAATCTTCAGGAAATGCTTCTGTGATAATTAAGGTGCACACTTCCTCTGGAAAGGGGAGAGATTCAACTTGAACAGAGTATAATTAGGTGCCCCAAATTAACAAACAGTGTGGGAGGATATCAGGGAGAGTAGGTATTGGGAATAAATAGTGTATTCCTGAGATTAAAAAAAAAAATCCCTCTGATTAGATTTTTGTCTTTGAGTGGGCTCATGAAGATAAATCCTAAAAACGCAACCTAAAGTAACCCCAGTGTGGTCCCTAACACCTACTTCTTAGACACATCTGTTTTCTCTACTAGACTATCAGCTTCTTAAAAGCAGGGATTACACTTTACCTCTTGAATTCTAGATTTCTGTAGCTTTAGTGCTTAGCATAAAGGTCCTATAAGGACGATTTTATTAACTGACCTAAACGTTGTTTTTGCTGTGGTAATTAGACTTGATGGTAGGATAATGATGGCTACTTTGTGGTGACCATCACATGTACTTCTTTGACAGCCAACAATTTAGTTGTTTGATGTCAGGACACCTTCTTTCTGCCTCTGTGTGTTGCTCACGAGGCGCACATGGAATAAGAGGACGTCAAATGGAATTAGAGGAAGAATTCATGCCCTGTGAGGTCAGGGATTCCTCAGTGCCACAAATGGAACTTGGCCATTGCCTGTTTCTAGTAAATGTTGAATGAATGAATAAACGAGCAAATATACTGATAAATCCAGTTTTCTTGCTTCTTCCATTGTATAGAGTTGGCATAAGGTTGTGTCAAAACTGTTCCTAAAGGCAGAAGTGGTTTAGGAATCAAAGACTTCAGATGCTTATTTGGTTTAATTATTTATTATCAAGATGTTGAAAAATTGTGCTTACCAGGAATGGATGATAAACAAGCTTCTGAAAGATAAAACAAGAGAATAGAGAATTTAAATGATGGCAGTTTAGTTGAGAGAAGATGCCATGTGTATGCAAGAAATAACTTGAAACAAGTACAAGATTGACTGAAATCTTGTATCATAGACTGTAAATTCTGTAGAAACTCAGAAAAGGTATGGAATGAATACTTGGCAGGGTGCTAGAGCTAGAAAAACTGTATTTCAGTCCTGTTCTACAACTAGCTTGCTCTGTGACTTTGTGAAAATTACTTCTCTGGGACTTAGTTATTCATCTCTAATGTGAAGTAGGAACAGCTATATCTCTTCTCTGAGTGTAAACTGTTGCTGAAACACTAATCCTGAGGTGGCCTTTTTCTCCCAAGAAAATCCTTTTCTTTTACCCTCTCTAATTAAAGTTGAATATTATAAAAATACTGTATTATAACTGCAGAAAAATACACAAAAGATTAATAATAGTTTTCTCTGGGTGGTAAGAATGTAACTTTATGTTTCTTCTAGATTTTATATTTTTTAATATTTATTGTAATAAATTTTATTACTTTAAAAAAATGTGACTTTTAAAAGAAATACCATGTGGCATAAAAGAGGTGTTTCTTCCTAAATGTGATGCGCAAATGCTCAGTTGTTTTGAATTAATATTTAAGTGAGTATATTTTCTTCACTTAGTGTAAGAAATATCTTGGGCTTGAACCTTGACTATAACACTTACTAGCCTTGTGACCTTTGGCAAGGTGTTTAGCACTTCTAATTTCAGTTTTCTTGCTTATAAAATGGAGATGATAACACATACCTCAAAATACTGATGTGAGAATTAAATGAGAAATTGTTTATAAACTCAGTATTTAGCATGTCAGACATGACTGAAGTGACTTAGCATGCATGCACAGGAAACTTAAACTGTAAAGTTTTAGAAAGCTATGCATCAGTTTTCATTTGTGTTACTCTTTTAAAAGTATGTTTGTTCTCACATTTATTTTCTTGTCTGTATGCCAAGAACTCATTGGGAAGATAATTAAGATTAATCTGTGAAAACAGACTAGTCTTTTTATAGCTATTAAAACTATTATTTGATCAGAACAAAGCAGCTGTCTTTTCTTTTTTGGTTGTTTATGTTGAGGAATTATTTATATTTAAGTAATTGTTTAGCAGTAGCAATCTCTGAACCTGTAACAAATCAGTTATTAAACGTTAAAACATGAATTAGATTTCAAGGTAAATCAGAATAAAAAGTAAATTTTAAAGCTTATCACTGTACTTTTTCTCAGAATTCGGAAGTCATCTGAGTCGGTTATCTGCTCTTTCTCTCTGTACCAGTGAACTTGAACTGCGGCTGTGGCCTGGACTCGGCATTCAAACACGACAGACTGACCTCTGGTTGCAGAGATATCTTGAAGATGCTAAAGAACAAACACAGAATTCACAGAATGGAAGAAACTGTTTCACCATATACAGTGATTTGGGGTGTCAGTTGCAGTAAGTGTGCATGCTTTTCATCATAATTATTGACAACTGATTATACCTTAATCAAAATAAGGAGCTTGCTGGGCATCTTATGTGCTTTATAGTCAGCTGTAAGTTTTTATCTCAATTTCATGGAGTTGTGTTTAATGAGAAAGCTTTCACTCTTTCTCCCAAGAACCGTATTTCAAAATAGAAAACCGATTCGTTGAGAAGTCTTCACTTTTTTGTGTTATTTTTTTATTGAGCACCTATGAAGTCGCAGATTTAATCTTTATTACTGGTTGAGCAGCATGGGAAGTATTGTAATTTTTTAATGATTCTGAATCATGACTTAGAGGAATTGGGCCAAAATCACAACTTTTCCACTAGGGGGTTGAAGCTCATCATACGAACTTGGAAGACTTAACCTTTGTGGAACTCCTGTTCTTTGTCTGTGAAATAGGGTTAGCAAAATGCTCAGCATACTTGAGGTTTTGAGGCTCATTTCAGAGACATAATCTTAAAACTTTCTTTAAAGAATGAAGAGTTATATTGATATATAAAAAGTATTTATTAACAACAGCTAGTACAGTCTCACGATTCATACATGAACAAGTGACATTTGTGGTAAATTTACCCGTTAAGTTCTAATCTCCCTCCTCTCCTATTCTCAGCTCCAGGGTCCTCTGGAATCTAGAATCACATTTCAGGTTATAACTTGGCCCTCAGACCAAAGAGAGAGGACTTGAGGTCCTTCTGCCTGGTGAGACCTAGGTAAGACATAATGATCCCCAGCCCAGCCCTTGAGCCTGATGTCCAGGGCTGCATATTACAAGGAAGGAATGCAGCAGGAGAGAAGACTTGTGCCTGATAGCATCTGCTGAAAGTGGGCTTTCAGAACTGATAGTAGTGCTCCTTACTCATAATGACATTGTTTCCTGTGTCTCCCACCCTGTATCTGGTAAGTTCCAGCTGTACTTCTCATACCTTAGGCCAGCAGTGGCAATAGTTCCAGTTCTGTTAGATTTGAAAACTGGGAGACAGAGAGCCTGCAGAAGATAGCAACCTTAGCTTGGTTTGACTTAGCTGATTGAATCCTGCTGTTTCCTGTGAGTGATAGAGGAGGCATCTAAATCCTGATCTCTGACTGTGACCCAAGCCAGAAATATATATGGTTTTGCTTGTTGACTTCTTCAAAAGGGCATCTTGTGGCCAGTTAAGAGAATGTGATGAACTGAACCTTGAGGTCAGGCAAAGCATTGTATATTTGGAGAGAACCATCTAAGAATTGCCTTCCAGAGCTGGAGGACTGACACAGAGCAAAAGTCTAAAGAGCATAGCATGAACCATGAATTGCCCTGTGACACTGAACAATAAATTTCATGCTTTCTGGGACTCAGTTTTCTCATATATAAAGAATTGTAATCCCTGAGGTCCTTTCTAGTTTTCTCCTTTCTTCTTCTTACACCTTTGATAAACCCTACAATTTGTCTATAAAATCCAACCTCCATTATGCACTGTGCATAGATTACCTTGGTAAACACAGGAGCTACAACACAAGTGGATCCCAACAGGCTGCTGCAGGGACTCTGCATCTGGTTGAGAAACAGAAGAGACACTGTCAGCCATATTGTCAAGGCTCTGGAACCTTAGTTGAATGGTGGCCATGAGCTAGCTGTTACCACCCACACTATACATTTACTTTATGAAAGGGATGATACTCCTAAATTAAGTGTCAGTTTGGATATCTGCTCCAATGCCACCCCTGTTTCCCCTCCCCTCCAGCATTCTGTTAGTTGAGATGGTGAAATACAACACTGGGTGATTACATTTGAGAAATGAGTATTGGTGATTATTTAGAGACTGTACATTAAAGGTTTAAATAACTTCTTTTTTTTCATTTATTTTTATTAGTTGGAGGCTAATTACTTTACATCATTGCAGTGGTTTTAAAGGTTTAAATAACTTCTAAATTTTACTGACTAGATTTTTTTCTTCCTCCTTACAGTTGTTCTTGTATCTTTTAGGTTTTTGAAAAGCATCCCTCTCTCCTTTTTTAATTACAAGGGAATTCATTCCTTGGATAGTTGGAATATTCTATTATGGGACTGAACTCCTAGAAACCAACTGTCCCTTATGGTCTGGCGCACAGACAAATGGACAACCCACAGAACTACCACGGAGTTATTTCTGAGACCCATAGATTTCTTAGGAAGCTTTTCCTGTGTATACTTTTCAAGAAAGTTGCATTGATTCCTTCCTCTCTGGGCCTGTGTCTCCATTACTGAAACCCCTCAGAAAGCTTTTAAAGTTGAACCTACCCTCTGGGGGTCAATATACAGTGGTTGAACTAATGTAGAATAACTTGATCTGATGTTAGAGGTTTCATTAACAGGGGAGCTGATGGTCAGAGACACTCTAGTGGTTTTCTTCTTTATCCTGTGGGGGAAACAAAACCAAACACAATCCACTTAAAGAAAGATTAGAAGTGGCTTTGATACAAATGCCTCACTGAATACATGAGTATATACTGAATATATGACATTTTTACCTTTAATTCTTATTTTTCTTTTGGTTTGCATAATAATTCAAGTGTTTTCTCTTTGAGCAAGTATTAGTAGATTATAGCTCCTAGTCGTTTTGGTTTAGATTTCCTTTGTCTTACTCCCATAATCAGTGGGCTCTTACACTTAAATTGCATGAGAAAAAACTTCCAAAGCAAATATTCAGATTGCACTTTGGAAAGTTGATAAATTGATTGGTCTATTTTTTTAAAAGTAGAATTCCCCCTATAGTCATACATGACAAATGCACATTCACATTTTGTACTTACTCTGACATTTCTGTCACATATGCCAAGCATAATCCCAGAGAAAAAAACGTTTTCTTACTTCTCTGGGTACTTACCTATAAGAAAGGGAAAAAAGAAATTCTATCTAAATCTGATGGGAATTTAATGAAATGTAGTTCAAGTATATTATATTCATACTAGGACCAGCAAATTAAGCAAATTAATTACATATAGCATATCAATCCAAAACATATGAATTCTTGACTAAGGATGGAAGTATTTTAATATTTGCAATGTAAAACTTCCAGATGTTTACCTTTATGAAGTTATGATGCTTGTACCCAGAAGAACTGCTGACTTATTTCCCAAAAATTTCATTTCAGAGGGCATATATTAGTATCTCTGAATTTGCATTTTGGTTTGAAGTCCTTAGCATATTTGTTATGATAAGAAATCCATTGAACCTAATTAAACTTAAAAGCTTTCACACAGCAAAGAAAATGGTTGATGAAACAAAAAGACAACCTACTAAATGGGAGAAAATGTTTGCAAATGATATGACTGATGAGGGGTTAATATTAAAAATATATAAGAAGCTCATACAGCTCATCAATAAAACAACTCAATTAAAAAATTAGCAGAAGACCTGAATAGATATTTTTCCAAAGAGGGAACACAGATGGCCAACAGGCACATGAAAAGATGCTCAAAGTTGCTAATCATCAGGGCAGTGCAAATCAAAACCACAATGAGATATCATTTCATACCTGTCAGAATGGCTGTCAGAATGGCTATCATCAAAAGAACCCAAATAACAAATGTTGGCAAGGATGTGAAGAAAAGGGAATCTTTATACCTTGTTGGCAGGGTATACTATGGAAAATAGTATGGAGATTCCTCAAAAAACTAAAAATAGAACTACCATATGACTCAGGGATATCCACTGCTGGATATGTATTTGGAAAAAAGAAAAACACTAATTTGAAAAGATACATATACCCCAGAAGCATTATTTACAGTTGCCAAGATATGTAAGCAATCAAAAGTGTCCATCAATGGATGAATGGATAATGATATATATGGAATACTCAGCCATAAAAAGGAATGAAATTTTGCCATTTGCAACAACATGGATGGACTTGGAGGGTATTGTGCCAAGTGAAATAAGTTCAGACAGAGAAAGACAAATACTGTATGGTATCACTTATCTGTGGAATTTAAAAGCTACAGAAAACTAGTGAATATAACAAAAAGGAAGCAGACTCACAGATATAGAGACCAAACTAGTGATTGCCAGTGAGGAGAGGGAAGGGGGAGGGGCAATATAATAATAGGGAATTAAGAGATATAAATTATTATGTATAAAATAAACTAGAAGGATATATAGTACAACACAAAGAATGTAGTCAATGTTTACAATAACTATTAATGGAGTATAAGCTTTAAAAATTGTGAGTCACTATATTTTACACCTGTAGTAGTTTAATCGCTAAGTCGTATCCAGCTCTTATGACCCCATAGCCTTCTAGGCTCCTCTGTCCATGGGATTCTGCAGGCAAGAATACTGGAGTGGGTTGCCATGTAACTTATATAATATTCTACATCACTTGTAACTCAATTGAAAACAAAACGCTTTGAAACACGTTGCTGTGTTTACTATAAGGAAGGGATGTAAATGATCGTATTATCTCTGTGAAGACTTAGTAGAGAAATACATCTCAGTTCGTAGAATGAGGAATAATTGGGCTTCTCCTGTGCAACTGGTTTAGTTTTTCCTCATAGATACTGTGGATCTTAATATTGGTTTTATTTCCCTCTGTATTAACTACCTGAAAGTCTAATGCTCACTTCATGAAAGCCAGTAATTCAACAGCGACTAGAATCAGAATCTTCTAAATATGTAACCTGATGCTTTTCTTTTTTTCATTTTATCTATGCTGATTATTTACCCACACCAGCATAGATCGCATGACCCCACAAAAATCTTTATTTCTTGATAGAAGAGGTACATTGGAAGATGTAGACTAGCTTGAATAACAAAATATTGTAATTTCCAGAAAGCCATTGGTTTATGGAAATGGGGTGAAATTAACTATTCCAAAAATCCAGGCTGTATAGTCACTTTACACTACAATTCTTAAAGGACATAAAATAGTTCCCACTTTAAAAGTCTTTTGCAGAAGTATTTGATACCACCATTAGGACTAGGTTTATCTAATCTCCTTTTAAAAATCATTATTTATTTATTTATTTTTGGCCATGCTGACTCTTAGTCGCTGCTCTGGCTTTTCTCTAGTTGCGGAGAGCAGGTGCTACTCTCTGGTTGAGGTGTGTGGGCTTATCATTGTGGTGGCTTCTCTTGTTGGGCTCTAGAGTGCATGGGCTTCAAAAGTTATGGCTCAGTAATTGTGGCTCCCAGGCTGTAGAACACAAGCTCAATAGTTGAGGCACACAGGCTTAGTTTCTCTCTGACATGCAGGATTTTCCCAGACCAGGGACTGAACCCATGTCTCCTGCATTGGCAGGCAGATTCTTTACCCCTGAGCCACGGGTGAAGCCCTTAATCTCCTTCTGATCTCACGATATAATACTGTAATAGTTGGTGTCTTTTTTTAGTCTTAAGACCCCCTTTATCATCTTAAAGTTTTATATTCATTTTAGAGTTAATTTACTTAAAAATTTTGATGATATAAAAGAGTTACTCTTTCATGTTTGATTTCCTATGGTGGATAATGGCTTCAGAGTGTGCATTTTAGTATTATTTAAAATTTACGTATATATTATGTCTATTCCTTTCTATGTATATAGTACTTTATAATAAATTTGTAAAATTAAAATAAGTCTGCAAACTGGAACTACTTTTTAACTGAGTTAGTTGTTTTTTAATTTTCAAAGAACAGATAGGATTTTTCTTTGGTTGTTCAGAAGATAGCTTTAATTCTATGAGTGTATAAGGGCTAAAGGGATTGCAAATACACACAGATTACCTTTATGTCCAAAACTGGGCACAAAAAGAGTCTATACTTATAGACTGTCTAAATAGGATAGAATCAAACAGTGTTAGCTGTATTTATTTGATTTGGATCATTTTTCTAATGAATGAAAGCTTTACAAACACTCAAACTTTTTAATTAGTCAAGACCCCAGGAGCAATGCAAAGGAGTTTAGAGTTAGCTGGCACAATAAAAGTATATGAAAAGCTCAATACTGCAAAAGATATATGATAATAATAATATAGGTGCTGTCTTAGTAATTTAACTTACATGCAGAGTACATCATATAAAATCTCAGGCTAGATGAATCACAAGCTGGAATCAAGATTGCCAGGAGAAATGTCATCAACTTCAGATATGTAGATGGTACTATGCTAATGGCAGAAGAGGAAGTAAAGAGCCTCTTGATGAGGGCATAAGAGGAGAGTGAAAAAGCTGGCTTGAAACTCAGCATTCAAAAAACTAAGATCATGACATCCAGTCCCATCACTTCATGGCAAATAAAAAGAGAAAAGTGGAAGCCATGACAGATTTTATTTTCTTGGGCTCTAGAATCACTGTGGACTGTGACTGCAGCCATGAAATTAAAAGATGCTTGCTCCTTAGAAGGAAAGCTATGACAAACCTAGACAGTATATTAAAAAGCAGAGATATCACTTTGCTGACAAAGGTCCATATAGTCAAAGCTATGGTTTTTCTATCCATAGTCATGTACGAATGTGGGAGGGAGACCACAAAGCAGGCTGAGAGCTGAAGAATTGATGCTTTTGAATTGTGGTGCTGAGGAAGACTTTTGTATTGGACTGCAAGA